AATAAAGTTCACACTGCTAGTTAGTGTTACTATATACCTTTTATTAAATAACAGGTAAATATTTAAAGTTCATTAAGGATCGCTTTCTCCTTTCCACCCAAGCCTAGTGATGCTCAGATTCAATTTTGTCTTTGTATTGAAAATCAGTTGTTAATCATTCTCAAAGGAGAGACCCAAAGTAGGGAATGAATAGTGCATTTCATTAAATGAAATATCACAGTCTTGTCTTTCTGAGTAGATTATTTTAGAGTCAGAAGTGGAGATTCTATAATTTCTTTACTCTTCCTGTTACTAATGACAAAAAGAGTAGAAATTGAGTCAGAGGGAAAAGAGATGATTTCCTCAGGTGGATTTGGAGGCAGTATTCATTGGATCCAGGTCTTAAATTTCAGATTCCATCCCTCTCCCTATGGTTACTACTCATGACATAGAGGTCTGTGTCATCACAGTGTAGGAAAGCTTGTGCAAAACCCTACACTAGAGCATGTCACCCTCTCTATCTAATGAAGGATTAATTCCCAGGGCTGTGAGATGGAGCCACAGCAAACACTTTTTTTTTTGGCCCTTTTGGGGACTTTCACCATCAATGAGGTTTGGTCATTGTTGGCTTTTTTCAATGAAGCAACCACTCCCTCTCCATCCTATACCATAGGAGTTGCATTCTTTAGTTCATTTTTATATTAACATACTCACTGAGCATATTTCGTGTTTACCTTCACATTAAAGATTTTGCCTTCCCTCCTTCATCAGGCTGGAGCATTTTTCACTGTGTAGGTAGGAGGTCCTGGGTTGACTCTGGTATTTGCCATAAATAATTTATAACTTTGTAATTTTATTCTTAGCCTGCTTTTTCAGTAGCTCTTTTCTACCCCCCATAAAAGGGCAAATTTTAGATGACTGCCTACTTTATAATGTTCATAAGTCTTTTTATAAACGTAATTCTTAGAAAGGTAAATCCAAGCTTATGCAGATCTTGAAGAACATTATAAATATATTTATGATAAATATATTTCTAAATAAAACTCATACTTGATGGACCTAAAGAGGGGATTGTCTTAGAAAAAGGCAAAGGCAAACCAAGTTTTATGACTGACATTTAATTAATTGGGCATCCTTCACTCAGTTATGGAGTAGCCATGCCTCCCATATTACCATAAGCTTTACTTTCTCAGCAGGTTCATTCTGCACAGGCAATGGTTAGTAATCAATCTCTTTTGAAGTGGCATCCATTTACCTAACTCTAATGAACTGAAGCTATCTCCAGATGACTTGAAATGATATACACAGGCTTTTAACTTAAGAAAGTAAGAATTGTTGCATGTGAAGATTGATATATTGTATGGAAGGGAATGAATTTTTTAGTTTTGTTGACATTACTCTTAAATGCCTTGCATGTAGCACACATTAATAGGACTTTAAAGTCCCTAACCCGTGATCACTCCAATCTATTTTCCATCTGCTTTGTGTAGTTTAATTGCATGGATAATTTAGAATGAAGTTTATTTCTATAACAAATAAATCCAGTACCCTAAAAATGCTTCTGAAATGTAGCTGATTCCACTTAATTATCTACTAAAAATAAACCTAGCAAATCTCTATTGAATATTTGAGAAGGTGATTAATAAAATAGCACAAGAACTTACATTGGACTCATGTCTTTCCTATGCCATTTCTTTATTAGTAGAACTCAGGTTTTTGGTCTTTAAGTTCTGGCTTGGTTTTATTGATTGGCAACATGGAATCTTCTGGGTAAATAAACCAGGTGAGTTAGTGTCTTTTGGGTGATGATAGAACATAATACCACACACTGGCTCATTTACAATGAACATAAATGCATTTCTTCACAGGTGTGGAGGGTAAGAAGACCAGTACAAGGTGCCCATATCTGGTGTTGGCATTTCTTGATGGAAGGGATCTCATAGCAGGAGGGAAAAAGAAAGCAAGGCATTAGCATTGTATTTTTGCCATAACAGTATTGGCAGAGGTCTTAAGGCCTTAGCATTGTCTAAAGGTCTTATCTCCCGATGTCAGTGCAGTGGCACTTAAATTTAACATGAGTTTTGGAGGAGGCAGACATTCCAACTGTGTTAAGAGGCAAATGAGCATTATACTGAAGCTCTAGATGAATAGTAGGAAGTGTTGGAGAACCTGTTGTATTTTTTTCCTTTGCTGAGAATATAATTAATTTCACAGAAGTTGAGAATCACTGCCACTAATTTTGGACCCTTGACTCAGAACAGAAACAAGGCAGGCAAGAAGAAAAGTTTATTGTAGAATCTTGTTGACATTTCTCTTATTACATCCAGAGTTCTACCAAGATCTTTAGAGCAATGTCTCTGTGAAGAATGTAACTTCTTTTAAAAAGAAAAAACAGTCATATAAATAATTTTTTGTTTTATTCTTTATAACCTGCTTTAAATAGGTTGTTTATGTATTAAAATGTTCATTTACTTTTTATTTTGTGTGTGCGTGTGCATGTGCGTGTGTGCATGCACATGTATGGAAATCAGATGACAACTTGTGGGAGTCAGTTCTCTCCTTCTACTATATAGTTTTAGGGGATCAAATTCTGGTTGCTTGTCTTGGTGGGAAGCTCCCTAACCCACTGAACCATATTGCTGGCACTTAAATAAATTATTTTGAACCACATTTCTCAATGCTGCTATCCAGGAAAGATGGGTAAGACTTTTTGGCAACAAGGCAAGACAGAAGTCGTAAAGGTTCCTTAAGGCTTGGTGCCTTTCTGTGCTCACACATTTTCTAAGAGAGATTGCAGGAAGGAGGATGTCTTCTTTGTACCCACATAAGAAAAGACACCTAATGGCAGCATTAGCAGCGTGGTTGTGACACTATTATTGTAGCTATAAATTTAGCTACTAGGTATAGAAAATAGTTGCATTTGAGTGAGACTGTGAAGCTTATTTTGGGAATCTTGAATATTATTTGGGAATCTTGAATGTTGATGAGAATCAAGTCTGACTTTAGAAGCCCCAGGGTATACATTGTGCTGATAATTGCTCTGAGTTGAACCTGGAAAAAGTGCTGATGTATTCACTCTTAAGCAGAGAGATTCATCATTTAAACCTTATCACGGACAGTTCTGGCAGAGCAAAAAGAAGCGAACCGTTGAAGGAGGGAATTCAGGGAAAATCTCTACTGTGGCTGAGACATGTGGAAAGAACTTTGGATCTTTCTGGAGAAGTTTGCTGAGTGGCCATATTCTTAACTATTTGAATCACCAAATGTCCCCTGTTCTGCTTACAGAGAGTCACCTCCCTTTCCATGCTGCATGCACAAGGCCTTCCATCCCAAGCCCATTGCTCTGTGTCCATGGCCTTTTGTAGCTGCTCCATCTACCAACTTTCAGAGCCATGGCCAGTCTTGTGCGTTTCAGATCTGCCTATTCTAGTCCCTAGATAGCAGTAAAGGCAAGTGCTGTGGGGCTGTGTTTGTGTGGCTGTTGAGGAGGATAATTGAGTTATGTAGTCTCAACTACTTTAGGGGAGTGTCTGGTACTAATTTGACACGAATGTTCTCAATTTAGAAAAACAAAATCTAATTGGTTCATTTTCTGTATAAATATGACATAAATGATATTTTTAGGAGAGTTAGAACTTAACATCTAAACAAAGTGAGGAAAGTAAGAAACAGTAATACTTTTTACATTGTAGAGGTGATAATTGTTAGCATGTAATTTATATCCTTTGGGTATTTTTTTCCTACACACATTATGAATTAGTAAGTCCTGTAAGGACACAATACTCAATTATAGCTGGTATAAACAAACAACAACAAAAATGAATTTATTGACTCATGAAAGGAAGAGTCTGGATATAGCCAGACCTTTGGGACAAAGTAATTTGATCTGAATGAAAGACTAGAGGAAGTTACAAACAACAACCAGAAGGAATGATTACCCAGGCACGCAGGGTACTCAGTGCTCATAATTTTAACAAGGCAGTAAGGCCTAGGCCAAGTGCTCACATATGGATGAATGGGGTACTTGGAAGACCTCCTCTTTCTTGAGTTCTTACTTTTTTTTTTTCTGTAAATTTACCTGACATGCTGTAGGTGTGAAAAGATATAACTTAGGAGTTCAGGAGGGACAGAGCATATTCTGAGCTCTGTAAAATCTCTCTATTAAATTCCCATTGTCATGTCAATTTAGACTGTTGGGTCCTGCATTTGCTCTCACTTTCTGGTTGCTTGGTACTTCATCATTGCATCCTCAGGAACTTTGGGACTTGACATCCTTGGCAGGTTATTGAGAGTGGCTGGCTCCAGTATAACTTTCTGAAATGCAGTATCCCCATCATGGGGTATTTGAAGACAGAGAGCATTAATTGGGCCTCCTTTTGGAGTCCAAAGGATGAGTATGTGTGAAACATCCCTTGTAGACCCAGCAGATTACTTGGAGATAGATTCTTCATGGGCTGTGATGTACATACGGCTGGGGCCAGAGTCAGTATCTTCTAATTAAGAGATATAGTTCAATAGGATTCTGAAACCCATGTTCTTAGGATGGTTGAGTATCTTCAGATGAATAATAATGCCATGGAATATTAAGGATAATTGTAATACTTGACAGCTTTCTGTGAGTGTGAGTTTTTATACACAGATGTCCACATATGCTTAAAATGATCTCTTTTTAATGAATGTTACTGGGCAGTTTATTTATTAGGTGATTTAAAATATAAAGAGTAAACTTCTAATCTACCCATGCAGAGCCTGCTAGCATATTAATAGATAATAACTTTCCTTTTAGATTGGCTGATGCATAGACAGACTTGGATTCTATCAAATACTATTCAATTTAATTATTTTAATGATGCATCTAAATTTATGTATTGCATAGTAACTGAATTCAGCTATGACTTGATCAAAGTGTTCACATGACTTCAGGAAGCTTCTGTCATGGTTGATTTACCCTTTTCTTTTGAGCTTTTATATTTGTGTTTATTCTTCATTTAACTTTTAAAACACTACTATAGTTGAATATAAAAACAAAACAATAGCCAAGTAGTGAGTATATTATGATTACAGTCCTTCCCACATTCACTACTGCATTTAGAATGACAAAGAGGAACTGGCCCATTAAGAGGTCTGACACTGAACACCACCTCTGGGGTAATGTTCATCGTCCTCATATGCTTCTCCATTATAATGACGCTGTCTTTCCTGATTTGGATCAAAGTTCACCAGTTCTACCTGATCCATTTCATCAGTCTCTTCCACTTCCTTCCTTTCAGGAAGGAGTTTTTCCAGCAAAGAGAGCTTATCAGGAGAGAGAAAGCCATTTTCAGGAAAGTTTACCTTAAACTCAATGATAAGACGTCCCTTTTCATATGGCCGACGATATATTGGCATACCTTCATTTAGCACACATTTATATCTCCATGCTTGACAATCTGACCTGGAGGAGAAGTGATGACTATGGTTCGGCTGTCAAGAGTGGATATTGGCTTTTGGAAGCTGCACAATGCTTCAACCAGCTGTATGTCCATACACATGAAAAGGTCTTCTCCTCGTCGTGTAAAAACAGCATGGTCCTTCTTGTCTAACACAATGATAATATCTCCTGGTTCCAGTCCTGGTTCTTGGTCTCCTTCACCATGGAATGTTATCTTCTGACCATCTTTCATGCCTTTATCAATATGAACTTCTAAAATCTTCTTCTCTCGAACTATCTTTCTTCCATTGCAACTTTTACATCTGTCTTTAGGACTGATGCGTTCTCCATGACCCTGGCATTCCATGCACACTGACTGAATTTGTGAACCATTCCTGGTCCGATCTGATGAATCCTGATTTGCATGCCGGTCCCCCGACAGTTGGGACAGCACTCAAGTGCTGCTTTCTTACCACTTCGGCCTTCACATTTGTCACAAATCACATTCATTTGCAGAGCTAATTTTCTTGTTGCACCATTATACAAGTCTTCTAAGGTCACTGAGAGCTGATGCACAACATTTTTACCTCTCCGTTCTCTTTGCATCCTCCCTCCTCCTCCAAAGAACATGTCAAAGATATCCACTGGTGAGCCAAAACCACCACCTGCTCTGCCCTCTTTAATGGCCTGTTCTCCTCCTTTATCATATAATTCCCTTTTTTTGGAATCAGCAAGAACTTCGTAAGCTTGAGAAATCTGTTTAAACTTTTCTCCTTCATTTGGATTCTTATCAGGGTGGTACTTCAAGGTTAATTTTCTATATGCCTTCTTCAGTTCTTCCTGGGTGGCATTGGGTTTGACCCCCAAAACATCATAGTGAGTGGTTTCTTTCACCATCTTTCAACAGCCGGTGAGCGGGCCGGTGCCGGAGAGTGGAAAGAGGAGCATAGCACAATGCAGTTGGGGCAGACGCTGCTCCTCCACCTCCCACGGAGCGTTCTGGAAAGTTCCGCGGTTGATTTACTCTTAAGCAGCCTCCTTTTTGGCACATGTAGGATGACTGACTGTAGTTCATAGCACTTAATGCTATCTAGTCTCTTAGCTGGAAGTGAAGATGTATTCCCTGAGAGTTTCAGCTGACACTAGGTTACCCCACTTTATTTGTATTAGGTAAAGTCGCCACTCAACAACAGTAACAGTGCAAGCAGTAACAGTGCTCCCAGTTTTGATGCAGTTATTACACAGACCTGGATCACAATATAATTATTTGAATAGTATCCAAATACTATTCAATTTAATTATTTTGATGATGCATCTAATTTATGTATTGCATAGTAACTGTCCAAACCAATGGAAGAACTTAGAAGTACAAATACAATTTTTTCCAAAGGAAATTGGAGTACTGTTTTCAGAAAAAGAAGTTAAAGGTACTGAGTGGACAAGACTAATAACCACTGACATTGGTGTGTTTTCACCATTTATAGATTTATAAAACTTTATTGATGTAATTATTTTTATAAATGTGACAGTGGAATTTGATTAATATACATGTATGTATTAATATACATGTATATACACGTATGTAGATTATATATGTATATGAATATATATATATATATATATATATATATACACATACATACATCTACATGTATCTTCTATGTATAAATGTACTTTTAGAGTTCTATAATGACTTGGCAATAAAATAGCTTGTGGAAGCTTTTATGATATCTACCTTGAAATTTTGATCTCAGAATGAGGAACAGACATGAATATTTAGTCCTAGAACTCAGAAGGCAGGGGGGAGGATTACCTGTTAAAGGACACTTAGGCACAGAGGGAGACCCTATGTCAAAACAAATAAACCAACTTGCAACAAAAAAATGAATCTTCAAATATTAACCGTGTCAACCAGCGGATAACAGAACACTGATAACTTAAATAAGGTTATGGCCTTTTGTACTGTGGTCTGAGAGCTAAGACTTTGCTTAAGAGAAAGGGTAAAAACTTCACAAGTCCTCATTTAACCCACAGAAGGGAGTTTGTATGCCATCCTGCCCTTCTCAGAATGAACTGCTCATTATATCCATTATTCCTATTAGAAACTTTTTTTTTTTTTGGTAGCCCTCAGGGTGGCCACAGTGGGATGCTTCCCAGACTGAGAATAAAGGGCACATTCACAAATTGTTTTGGGTGGATAATGAACCAAATGTTCAATTAACTTACTTTAGGACTGTTTCATATGCCAGGGTGATTTCTGCCTCTTCTGAAATCTAATCCTGTCTGTACTGCTCATATGGCACTCTGACCATGTTTTTCTTTTGATTAGTCTCATTGTAAAAACATGAGTGTGGTGGCTAAGAAGTGAGCATGGAATAGCATGGGGTCAGAGGATGAGGTCAGATTATTGGCTCATGTGATCTTGGTGAAGTCCTTTATCATCTTAAAACTGTTTGCCTGTGTATGATATAGCTTTATATAAAGTGGCTGATGTAATAATGTAACATCTGACATAGTGTAACTTTTATATAGTAACACAACACCTGGCATAGAGATATTAGTTATTGCATATTATGTTAAAATGTTTTTTCAATTGTTTTTTTTTTGTGCATTTGAATACTTTGTGGTATATATGTGAACCACATGTGTGCGCAATAGCAGGGGAGGCCAGAAGAGGGTGTTGGAACTTTTAGGACTGGGATTACTGACAGTTGTGAGCCACTATATGGTTATTGGGACCTGAACCCAGGTCCTCTGCAATAGCAGCCAGTTCTCTTAACCACTGAGCTGTCTCTCTAGCTCCACCTGGTACATTTTTACTGATAGCATTTTCTCTGTCACATGCTATCTTCTCATCTCTGAATTCCCAAGGACAGGGATGTTATTATAAAAATACTTTATAATCTTTTAATAAGTATTATAGCATATGACATATTGAATGATCACAAATATGGTTATCCCTTCATAGTTGCAGACTCTGTGACAGAATTTAGCCTTCATGTATCAAAATAACAATGCCTGTGATAGTTGTATCTGATCAAACATGTTCAGACCTTTTTCTTATTCCCTAAACAACACAGTGTAACAACTGTTTGCATGCAATTTTCATTGTATGGGATATTGCAAATAGCTGAGGTGTGAAGGAAAGCACTGGAGATAAAGGTGAATGCGGGCTTGAATGCAGGCTTTATACAAGTACGATGCTACTTTATGAATGGGACTTGAGCACAGTTGGATTTTGGTATCCGGGAAGTGGAGAGCAGGAAAATAGTTTCCTGTGAATTCTGAAGGACGATTGTGTTTGTGTTACCAGGTTTCAGTTTCCATTTTGCTATGTCATATCATTTTCTAGGAAGCACTTGAAAAATAAAACTCAGACAAGCTATAGCCAATGACCTCTTCTGAGGAACTGGTTCAGGTCATATATTTTTATGCTTTCATTTCTCCATTGTCTTACACATATCTTCATCTGTTATTACTTACATTACATATTACTTCACTGTTCCCAAGGTAGGTTTCAAGATCTGTTTGAGTGAGGGATGAGACAGGAGGACTTGCTAGATGAGGTATGCAAAGACAAAATGTAGCTAGGACAATAACCTGGAGTTGGTGGTGTGTACATCCTGGAATAGAGACATACACATTGATATGCTTTGTCTGGGAGTAGGAGGGAGGTGGTTCTAGCAGAGGAAAACTACTTATTTAAGGTGTCTTTTATTGTATTTGGGGGATTATTTAGCCTTGAATGACTGCTGTGCTTTCATGTTTGCAGCTAATGCAAGCTAGATTTAAGGGGAGGAGGGGGAGATTAAATCCACTCTCCAAAACTTAGATAACTTCTTTTAGAATAGAAGGTTCACTTTGCAAATGGTTGCATTTTTATGTACTTGGAAGTAGTCAAGCTTTAGTCAGCCATTTCTAATTTATTAATTCTATGTAGAAGGTAGCAACTGTGTGTGCAGTTCTGTGTTATTTCTGAGGAGGGCATATAGACACAGAGCCTGCCATCCAGGAGGACAGTGGACTGGCTGAGAAGTCACCTCTACAAAGCTAGGCAACACAGGGCAGGTTGTGTGCTTGTTCAAAAGAAGGATCTTGTACAGTTGTTACTGTTGCTACTGGGGCTAGGAGAAAGGAGAGTTCCCTTTTCTGCTACTGGCTAGTATGGGTTATTGGAAAAAATAGAATTCTTTTTTATTTTTGAAATAATAACATATTTTTATTTTAAAAATTATCTTACAAAGTAACAGGTTTCCACATGGGATATCACAGATATGCCCTTTGAAGGAATATATTCATTAAAAAATTTATTTATTTATTTTTTAACTTTTATATTTTCTTTCTGATAATAATTTTTCTTGATACTTGAGAATTATTTCATAAATATGTTCAATGAACCACGATCATATTCACCCCTAATATGTCCCCTTCAGCTTCTCCTAACTTCCCCCAATATAGCTCCCTCCCAACTTCACATCCTTTCTTTCTTTTTATATAATCCAATAAGTGCAATTAGTACTGTCCATAGGTATATGGGTAGGGACCCTTTACTGGAGCATCTACCAGTGAATATGAAATCTATCAGGAGAGAAATCTGCTGGTGGCCATACATTCAAAACAGGGTGATTCTTTCTCACTGACCAGCTAGCAACTGCCAGTAACTCCTCAGTCAGAGGTGGGTACTGAAGAGCCCCTTCCCTGTTTGTGCTGGAATTTTGGCTGGATTGTTCTTGTTTGGGACACCACAGCTAGTGTGAGTTCTTGAGTGCAATAGCCTTGGCAAGTCCAGAAGTTCACATTTCACAGAATTCCTTCCCATTATCTGGCACTTATTTATTTTTATGAGCTTTATTTGGAAATAACCCTTGAAATAAATAAAAAAGTATTGCAACTTAGTGATGTTATATACAGTTAGAATTAGCATTTGAATTCCAATTCTAATGTCTCTTCCATCCTTTTCATCTCTTCTGCAAGTTTCCTAAGTCATGGTGATGGTGTTGTTGGTATTGGTTGTAGTGATGATAATGGTGGTGTTGGTGATGATGGTGGTGTTGGTGGTGGTGATGGTATTGGTGTTGGTAGTAGTAGTGATGGTGTTGGTGGCGATGGGTGGTAGTGGTGTGTTAAGAAGAATGATCATTTAGGGATGAGCACTGAATCTCTTTTTCTCAGCATTTTGACTAGTTCTGTATGTCATCATTGACTACTGAAAAAAGAAGCTTCCCTGATCAAGGTTGAGAGTAACCCATATTTATAGGTATAAACATAAATATTTAGAAGGCAATTTGAAAACATGGCCATTTAGCCAAAACCAATACTTCTCAGCCAGGCTTTGACCACGCTTATAGTATTATGCATTAAGTTCCCTCCTTTGGAGCCGGCCTCAAATCCAATCAGAATATAGTTGCCCTGTAATAACTTAGAACTCTTAACTGGAAAACTAAGACAGGAGAGGAAAAGTTTTCAAATGTTTCCTCTAGGAAGAAATAAAAGATACAGATGAAGAAACAGGCAGGCATACTCTGGAGACAGTTCTAACTTGTTGTGGGAAACAAGATGAACATACATATATATGGGACCAGTGTGGTATAAAGATGAACTGAAGTGCTCACGAATGATCACCCTCTCTCATGGTTTCTGACTGGTGCACACTGACTGCCCAGTTAACTCTAACGTGAAGTTCAGGTTCATCAGCAATGGATGTGCTGATATCTAAGTGATGCCTGCTGTGGGTGCCAATAGTTTGGGCAGCATTCCTGCAACATGTTTGTGTGCCTTCTTGTCACAGAGGACTTGGGAGCACCGTGACAGATAACTTGTCATTCAGCATGTAGGCTCTGGGCAGATGTAAACACAGTGACTTAGGAACTGCTGAGAAAGTCTGCAGTTGTTCAGAAGACCAAAGTGTGTTCTGACTGGAAGACAATCCAATGGAATAGTGTTGCTGAGAGGAGGTATCAATTTCACTTCTCCTGGCCGAGCCACTGAGCTATTTGTTAGTTTTTCTTCCCTCCTCCCTGTGAATCCCTGTTTGCTCTTCACATTCTCTTTATGAAGATGTTATTTTCATTATTACTTAGGATCACAATTCCTAATACAGAATACAGTACTGTGTTCTGACATATGTTCTGCTTGGGTCCAAAAGGGTGAAAGGGCTTGTTATTCCCCCTTGTTCTTGTTGTTTCTGATAAAGCAGGTACACTTTGTGTTCTCATTCCTGAAGCCTCTTTATTCACTGAAGCAAACCATGCATACCTTTGGCAGCTTTCTTTTCTGTTTTTATATATTTACAACTTGCCATGACTTTCAAAGCCATATATATAAGGTAGTGGTTCTTTGTTTTTTTACAAGTCGCATTGGCAAGTGTCAAGACTAATTTTGGCCCTATAATCACCACTGTCCTCCCCTGTTGCAAGCGAGAAATTTGAAAAACAAGGGGTTGATTAACATGCCCCAGGTCAAAGGACTGAGACCTGTGCTGTGCAAATGCATGCAGTCTGGTTCCAGAGTCTGGACTCTCAGTGCGGTGCTATTTCCTGTTTTCATTCCTTATCCCAAAATGCTACTTCATGACACGGGATTTTGGGAATTTTGGATATAACCCAAGGGTTATATCCTGGTTGTTCACAGGTCTGTTCTTAACAAATAAGTTAATCTAGGCATTATTCCTAGAGACTGATGTGGGGGGATGTGACAGTTTTCCATCCATTCTGCTGAAGCCTCTGTGAGAGATTGGTGTTTGCCTATGCTGACAATGCCAGGCTAGAGAGTGGAGTTCTTTGGATCAGTGCCATACAGGAATGTGACCCTCAGTGCAGTATTTATTTATTTATTTATTTATTTTTTGGGGAATGGAAGGAAGGGACTGTTTTTTCTGAATGGAAGGAAGGGACTGTTTTATTTTTATTTTATTTTATTTTTTACTAGTCTTGATCTTACAGCCTCTGGTCTTAGCCATTCAAGTGCTCACACCCTATTTATTATTCTGTGCTAGAAGTGAGAACAAGTCTACCCCATATTTTTAGGAGGGTCCAAAAAGTCAGTTGGTTATCTAAATCTCCCTTCCTGCATGCTCCTTCAGCCTTTGGGCTTCTTCTTCTTCTTCTTCTTCTTCTTCTTCTTCTTCTTCTTCTTCTTCTTCTTCTTCTTCTTCTTCTTCTTCTTCTCCTCCTCCTCCTCCTCCTCCTCCTCCTCCTTCTCCTCCTCCTCCTTTTGAGACAAGATCTCACTATGCAGCTCTGGCTGTCCTGTAAATCACTCTATAAACCAGGCTGGCCTCAAACTCACAGAGATTCACCTGCCTCTGCCTCCTAGTGCTGGTGTTAAAAGCATGCACCACTACTCTCAGCTGCCTTTGGGATCTCTGATATAAAATGATGGTAACAAATGGTCCACATTTGTGATCACCAGTTCTAGAAGCAGCGTGCTGATTAAGATGACTAATCTTTTACTAGTGTGATCATCCTGGTCCTCAGGAGCACTGTTCAGACCCTAAGTTCTGCCCATCATTTCATCATTACCATGTCTCCTTGGATGTCCTATTACAATGCCTCCTCCAATGTTGTGATTAGAAAGGCGTTGTAAATATTTTACATGAAAGTCTCAAGGCTTTATATATTTTCTTCTTGAGACATTGAGAAAATTCAAAGCCATTTTGTTTTAATTATAGAAGTAAAACTAAGTCTTAGTACTCTGTCTCACTATGTATTCAATTGCCCTAATTTGTTTTGCAAACACACTTAGCAAATATTTCTTTTCTCCATTCATGTGTGAACTTATTGATGTACTTAACAAATTAATCAGTTGCTTAGTTGATGTCTATTTCCTCTACTTGCATGATGAGAACAGGGATCTTTCTGTCAGAGTTCTGTTTACTATGTAGAGCCTGAAGCTATGCCCACTTAAGAGTTCAGGCAGTGCTTAGTAAACAGTGGCTGAATGAATGCATGAATAGTAATTGATACTTCATAATTTAGAAAAACAGTAAATGGAAGAAAACAGTGTTAGGAATAAACCCTGTAATGTTTAAAGTATACTTGTTAAGTGAAAATGTGCCTGCAGATAGTTGTAGTACTTGTACAACGACCTGGTGTTGCACAAATGAAAACAATGGCCAGACAAGCTTGAATTCGTGCAAGGCACCCTCAACATCTATGGGAAAGGATATTTTTTTTCCTAAAACATTTTTAAATCACTAAGATCTCTTGATGTTGACTCAAATGGTACTGGAAAATTGGAGGGACAAACTAGTATTTATTTAGTCTGTAATAATTTAAAACATTAAAAGCATTAAGAATGTAGTGGGTTGTTTCTTCATAATATCTTACCAGGTTAGTGAATAATACTTGCCTTCTCACAGTGCTGTGTCTTATGGACCAGTAAGTCTGTTTTTTTTCTCTTTTTTTTTTTTCAAGACAGGGTTTCTCTGTGTAGCCTTGACTGTCTGTGTAGATCATGCTGGCCTTGAACTCAGAGATCTGCCTGCCTTTGCCTCCCTAGTGTTGGGATTAAAGGTGTGGCTATGCTTCTCCATACTATTTTTTGAGACATGGTGTTTCACTAAACCCTGGACTTTCTGCTTTGGGTAGACTGGTTGGTCAGGACCCCCCCTCCCCCCAGTATCTGCCTGTCTTCCCATACCAGCGCTGGAGTTACAGATATGTATATCTTCACATACCGCATTGGGGTTACAGATGTGTACTGCCACTCCCAGCTTTTTATATGGGTTTTGGAGATCCAAACTCAGTTCTTCAAGCTTGTGCAGTAAGAACTTGAGCCATTGAGCCATTTCCCAGCCTCACTGTTTTTCTAACGCAAAGGAATTGAAATGCAAATCCTGGGCATGCTAAGCAAGAACTCTATACTTGAGTCACATCTCCAGCCCCTTCCACGTCATAGTTGATGCCTACAAGGTATTTTGTTGTATATTTGTATCATGCTTTATTTAACCAACCTTCTTTTCTTGACATTTAGGATTCAAATTTTTCTCAATTATAAACAATACAATCAATTTTATTTTAAAATCTTTGAAAATAACATGTTTTTAAATGAGCATACTTTTAGTAGAAGAACTTCTGAATTGTAAAATTTACTTTCAAAACATTTTTATATACTTCTAAATTTCCCCTTAGAAAAGTATTTTTTCATGGTTTTACCAGCATGAGATTCTGGGAATATGATTGCATGACTCCTAAATACTGTCATTCTTTTTCCATTTTAATAGATAAAGAATGTATTTTATTTAATAATTAGCTTTTATTACTGAATTGGCTACTTGTGAATTTTTCTTTTAGTAGTTATATTTTGGTTGGAACTATCTTAGTCTGTCCTGCATTTCTAAAGATTTCAGGTGGTAGGGACTTACATGTTTCCTAGGTTGTTTGACATATATATTTCTGTATCTCTCTCTCTCTATCTATCTATCTATCTATCTATCTATCTATCTATCTATCTATATATATCACATGCTTTCATATGGATTTACCATTCTTGGTTTCATTCAGGCATATACATGAGCCTTAGTTTTGTAATATGACCTCCAAGTGCTCGCTCTTCTTTCTTTCTCTTTAAAGAGAATAACCCACAATCTGGATGAAATTCTAGTTAATTTTTCATTACATGATTTCAGGAGACGGGGTCAAAAGGAACTAGTAGGCCATTCAATTATGTGCTTAAGTGTGTTGGAAAATGTTCTCCCCCCCCTCCCTCAGGTGTACAATATTTTACTTGGGCTTGTTTTTCAAGTGCATTTAAGTGTGACTAAACATTTTTGGATACTGCCATTAAGTAAAGAAGAGACCCATCTTGTTAAATATTCCTTCATCAGCTTTACAGTTACCCAGTCACAGGCAGCGAAGGACCTGCGAGGGCAGAGGGAGGGCAGGTGGTTGGCCTGAGGAATCTCAGGATTGGGGTGCTCTGTTGTCCCTCCCACTGCTACTTGAAGAAGTGATTGGTTCAAACTGATTTCTGTCTCATAATTTTGGATAGGTCATAAGTGAGGAGGAGGGGAAGTCATGAGGTTGGACCTCAGTTCAATTGAAGGCTCAAGGTTCTTTCTCATAAACCACACAAGACTAGACCGCTATCCTTTTGGAAAGAGTGGAGAACTGAGATATAGTTTGTCTCACACAAGTAGAGAGAGCCTTTGATTTCTCTTTGTCTTTGAGTTGAAGATAAAGGATGTCCACTGAAATTGTGGAAGGGAAGCCCAATAATCTGGGGGAGAGAGGAAGAGCTCGAAGCTACACTTTCCTCAGGGTTTTCCAGCCAATGTTTAACCGCAGTATTTTCACTTCTGCAGTCTCTCCTGCCGCAGAACGCATCCGATTCATCTTGGGAGAGGAAGATGACAGTCCAGCGCCGCCTCAGCTCTTCACTGAACTGGATGAGCTGCTGGCTGTGGATGGACAGGAGATGGAATGGAAGGAGACAGCAAGGTGAGGCATGGTTGATGGAATGCAGCGCTGACCTGGGGAAGCAAGTGTAAGCAAAATGGATGAGCCATGAGTGCTGCCTTCTCTGGCCTTAGCATCAGTTGGTTGATGGGTGTGATGCTGGATTAAGAATTGGGTAATTCTTTAACTGGACATTAATGTGGATTCAGGGTTCCTCTTGTTCACTTCTGGAGCATATTTTATTAAACAGGGCTGTAAGGATTTGACTTTTGTTGACAAAGACGTCAATCTTAATTTGTAGGCTATTTAATGGTAGAATATAAGGGCGATAATAAACCCTATCACCCCAAGGCTATGGCCAAGACACATTTCAACACATCTCTACATGCGATCATATCTTGTGTTATCCTCTGTGATGCTGTCTAATCCCAGATAGAATGGGCACTGGGGAGAAAATCGTGGCTCTAAGACAAAGATAGTATAATTTCAAGCAAAAGCCCCATTATCTTCTAAATTTTCAGCTGAAAGAAAGTATAAGGTTTATCTGAATGTGGAAGTTAGATACCTCAGTTTAACTCTATACTCTGACCCATTACATGACCCTGTTTCTTAGTAGAGTGAATAATAGCACTTATTACATGTGGTATGCATGTAGACATATAAAATATACACTATATGGATATAATATGTGACATGTATAATCATATCTTGAATATTTGTGTGGACATGATTTGTAAATTGTTCAATACTTTGCAAGTTTCTGAGGTTCTAGAAGTCACAGCTGAGATTTGCTTTCATAGATATTTAGTTACATATTCCAGACCTAATCTCCTGTAATGTGTACTAACCCTCTGCAGGATGCACCTCGAGTCTATAAAGGAGGATACTGGAGCAAAGGCTGTTTCTCACTAGAAATGGCAAAGGCCATTTCTTCCTTTCTTTCTTCGTGGAGTGAGGCTTACACTCTTACAAGTTGAGGAGTCTTAGTCTACTGTTGGTTTTGCTATTCATTAGTTAGCTCAGCACAGCTGGTAGTCTTCCTGAGCCTCAGTTTCCTAGTCTGCCAAGAGAGGATCTTCCAGGATTTCCTCTTCTCTATTTTCTTGCTCTAAAATTTTCTTCTTCTGTGTATGTTGGTTTAATCAGCAGTGCCTCTAATGGCTCCTTTGACCTTTTCATGTTGAACTATTTGTTAATAGTTATCATGGACAAGAACACAGGAATGGCTTTGTTCTTTGTTTCTTGTCAAATGTTGGCTACCCATTAATTTACATGACCCCTGATTTCAGCCAAGTGAAAAAAGTGACATTTCACTGTGTAGGCAACTCAATGTTGAATGAAATAGTTACAATGTCTCTATTTTTGATTCATTTTGGTTCAGGGAGGATACCAGGTGTTCTCTGTAGTCCAGGCTGGTTTTGAACTCATGGTGATTCTCCTGCCCCAGTCTATTCAGTACTGAGATTACAGGATTGAGTTATGATGCTTGGACATGTGGGATTCTGATGACCAAAATGACCATACATGCTTTACCACCTTGAAAGTATATTTTAGGCAAGTTATGTACCATTTTGGTGATGTAATCCTAGAGAAACTTTGGATAATTTCTTCTATTTAGGAATCATTATGATTATTTCTAATTGCATTTCTGATACTGCTTTCCTTACTACATGAATTCATTCCAAGTCAGAGATCACCCTGTCCTGCTTACTATAGCATTCTCCTAGCTTTGAAGTGCCTGGTTCATAGAATCTGCTCATAAATATGTGTTGAATATTAACTAGTGGAGAACGGATTGCTTTAAAAATAACTATATTCTTTTGAGTTTTTTTAGTTAACATACAAATTAGTAATGTTCATTATGACATTTCCATACTTGTATGTGATTGTATTTTAATAGAAAAATAAGTGTCTTGAACATAATCGTTATCATTTCTTTCTGCTGTGTTCTGACAGACTCAAGGTACCCAGTCCATCCATGCTAACGCTCAGGGAGGCCCTGTGCTTCAAAGTTCATGAGATTCCTCAATATACTGATGGCATTTGCATTCATAGCTCTAGACTTCCTTCCTTATTTAATTGGCATTGAGTAATTGGAGGGCTATTAGCAGTTATATTATTAATACATCCAGACCTGCTCCTCCTACAGATTTCTCCATCTCAATACATGATTTCATTCTCTTGGATACTTCAGCCCAGACATCAGAGTCTTCCTTATCTCCTACCTCACTTACACCTGTTTTCTGATCAATTGACACATTTGATTTCACTCTCTGAAATACTCAGATATTTTAGCATCTCACCACATTTCCTGTTCAGTACTGCTTCAGGCCTGGCTCCAGCTCTGCAAAACCCTCCAATTTTCTGGTCTCCTTATCCCTGCCTATATTTTGCTTATAAACTATCTACCCCAAGGTACTCAATAGACTTTTGTGTCTTTTCCTCTACTTCGGCCTCCTGGAGCCCCAATGGCCAATTGCACTACTCTCTGAGGGACTCTGTATTTGCTACCTCTTTGTGCCCATGTACCCCTCAGTTAGCTACATGACACACTTGCTTCAGGCTGTTATTCATATATTACCTGACTTTTGAGTTGAAACATTCACCTATACCTCCTGTCCCAGGTCCTCTATCATATTTTTGACCTTTGCACCCATTGCCACTTAGCATAGTATCTACCTTGCTATTATGTCTTCCTAATGGAGTTAAATCTCTGTAAGGGCAGGGATTTTGACTTTCTTGTTCTGCACTCTTCTCCTTAAGCCCAGAACTCCCTGCTTCACAGCCATACTCACGGAACAGGGTGTGTAGAGAATTAAAATTTTGGTTCTGAGTGTGCTGTCCCATCTGAATTCTGTGGAGAGCTTTGGCAGTGACCATGCTTCTGGGAATATTTAGATCTCCAGTAATCTGTACTTCTTGTGACACACACTGCGTCAGAATGTTTCTGTAGTGATGTTTGACTTCCATTTGTGATGTGCATTTTCCAGCCACAATAAAATGCCCAACCTCCTATTAAAAGGCCTCAAACCTCCCAGATGAATGCAATTTAAGTGCCTAGAAGAGAGCCATTTCATATGTGATGATGTGGCATGATTTTTTTTTTTTCTGGCTGACAAATATGTTTGACATTTTTTCTTTCCTTTGAAAATTCCCATTGATAGACTTCTTTTTTTTTTCTTTTTTTTTCTGGACATGCTAAACAAGGGCCTTAGTGCTGAATTACATGCTTTCCACCAAGCACTGACAGCAGGTAGACAGTTTTATTTCAATGAAAGCTAGCTATCTAGACTTTTAAAACTAGCTGTGGTTTCTAGTGTGGGCCTAGAACAAATGCCATTCTTCTTCCCCCTAAAGGGTTTGTACTTTTCTGTTGACTAATGATTTTATTTAACTAAGAATATTCTGCAGCAAGCTTTGGCATTACTGTGATTTGAGTCCCACTTTAGGAATTATAGGTTGGTCCCATTCCTCAAATAATGAAAATGTTTTCAGGAATAGAGAAGATGGCCCCTTTGGGTCTGAGAAAGTGGAGTAGTTATGAAATATTAGCAGCAAGAGAAGCCTTTACTAATATGGGATTTAAAGTGGCAGCTCTGTGTCTTCCTTTTCACATTTATCCCCATTTTTTCTTTCCAAGAAGGTAGGGTAGAACTTGGAAATTTCTAGTGGCTTTTCGAAAATAGGGCACAAGCTAAAGACTGTGCAAAAGGTAGACTTCTCATGTTTGAAATGTATGATTGACTGATGGAGGTACTGTGTTAGTCTTCTTAGAGGGCACCTTTACAATGTGTCATCATTAGAAAAAATCATATTGAATATAACTACAATAATTAAGATGGAACCACTCAAAATGGTGAAGAAGGCTATACCCCTAATCAAAACTCCATTAAGCTGGGTTTTGTGGCCCACAACTACAATCCTAGCACTGGAGGAGTGGAGCCAAGAGAATTAGAGGTTCATGACTACATAATGAGTTTGAGGCCAGCCTGGAATAAATGAGATCCTGGCACAAAACAGAACAAAAATCAAAACAAAACAGGAACCCATTAGAGTCAGTTCACAGGTGAACAAAGTAGACAGATTAAGGAATAGCTCCTATTCTTGCTTTGATGATGGCCCAAAGTCATGAGGAAGGGACAGGATTTTCGCTCATCTTCCACTTTTTTATTTGAATTAGGATTAGCTCTTCCAAAGTGATTCCTCATTTTCAGTTTGTCCTTTATGAGTTTTCAGTGGCCAGTGCTGAACATCACCAATATGGCATGATTATGTGTTAAAGATGACCTGCTCTGTGTAATTCAACCTCACTGGCAAACCTGGTCAGAAAGAAAACCCTCACAAGTTCTCAGAAACATTAGCCAACAGAGGAAAAGGGCATCACTGTGTCATGTCCAGGAACACAACGCAAACTAATGTTTATTTGTGTTTCTGTTGGGCATGCTGACCCAGCTCACCCCTGGGGAGCCTCTAAGGTCATGGCCACAGAACAGCAGTGTGCACCTTACACTGTGAGTTTGCCATCTCCATAGCCCACAGTTCTTTGAATTTCTATAGCAGATGACTCTGGGAAAATCCTTCTTGGACCGAATTTATTTATTTATTTTTCTGTAAGAAGAAGATTTGGGGAATCCAATTACATATATATAATTAGATGCCATTATATTTAGATAATTATATGTGATACTTACCATGGTTGATCTAGAAATTTATGGATTCTCCTAAAATAGCATTTATCCCAGGTATATACTAGCATTGGCTTCTTTTACATGTGATGGAGCATTTTTTTTTTAATTAGCAAGAAATTCATTATTATTATATCAGTAGTTTTACACAGTTGGATTATATTCTAGTGCAAAGGTCATGAGGATTTTCCACCATGAAACTGGCAGGTTTTAAAGTTAGAGGTCTTGTCTTTACTTAATTATATTTAATCATATGATTGGAAAGTTGCAAAACTCAGTGATTCCCAGTGGGCCTTCTGTTTCTTCAGCAAACGAGTGAAACGGTCTTTGGTTGGCAGCCACTCAAAGTATATTACACTGCAGAGTACTTTATCATTATTCTTCTAAGACCTTGGAATAAATAAAATTCACCTTATAAACTGCTCCTCCAAGGGTACAACAGTTTTGTAATTGCATGCATTTAAAAAGCCAACTTCTAAAATTAATTTTCCTGTAGCGTGTCACGTACTGAAACAAGAAGAGGGGGGCAGAAACCCATTACAACTGTGTGGCTATTCATAGTGATTGTGGAGGGTAGATGGTGGCTTTCAGTGAAAGTGTCTGGTTTTTAAAAACATAATTACATGGGTCTAAAGCACCTTTGCAAAATGTCTGGTACTTGGGTAGTCTGAACTTTGGTCTCTCCGCCTTAGCCTTCTTTTTAATGGATGTTGATTTGAATTGTGGAGTGTTGACTCTTTGTTTTTCAAGTTTGTCCTTGATGTGAGAGGCAGATAGACAGAGCATGCACCCTTTCTGGGAAGAAACTGTCTACAACCAGTTTAAATGGGAAAATTGGTATAAACATCCCTTGAACAATTAGAGCAGTAGATTTGTTTGATAGGCATTGTGCCAATTTCTGTATGCTGTTAGTTGTGTGTTATGCCGTCATCACAGTATCCAATATTTATGGAAGCTGGTGTGAAATAGATGCTAAAGTGAGCCTCGGGATCTTATACATCCCTCAGGAATAGAACTGTAAATAGTGGGCTAGTTATGAGTCTTTACTTCCTTTCCTTGTGGTAATCTTGACCTGAGGTTGGTGTGATTCGTTGAGGTGAGTGGTTCTCTTCAGAAAGTCCAGCCTCGTTGGAATTAATGATTTTTCATTGCTCTTGAGGAACTTACTCTGATTTCTGCTTTAAGTCAGTAAGTTACCTGTAGTTATAAGCTGCAGAGAGGAATAAATAAAAGACAAGCCAGGGGAGAGTCAGTGAATTTTCTCCTTTTTGAAAAGTTTTATCAAAATTCTATTGTTTAGTTAATTGAGGATTGTATTAGCCTCTTCAGGCTGCAGTGACAGAATGCTGTAGACTAAATATCTTACACATCATAGAAATTTAGTCCTCATTGCTTTTCAGTGTGGGAAGTCTAAGATTAAGGGCTTTGCAGATTTGGTGTGTGATAGGACCCATGTGCTCTTGATGGCCCATTCTAGTTGCAAAAGGCTCCTCCCTGGGCTCTAGAATTTCAGCATAAAAAACAGGGGTGGTGGCTCTGTCCATTATCCTAGCACTTGGGAAACTGAGGCAGTATAGTTACCATGAGTTCAAGGCTAGCCTGGACTATGGAGTAAGAATGTCTCAAAAACCCAACCCAATAATAACCTCCCCCCAAACCAAATCCTCAAGATTTCAACATATAATTTAAAATATTATTTATTTATACCTCCCCCCAAACCAAATCCTCAAGATTTCAACATATAATTTAAAATATTTATTTATTTATATTCTATCTATCTGTCTGTCTGTCTATCTATCTATCTATCTATCTATCTTGTGTGTGTGTGTGTGTGTGTGTGTGTGTGTGTGTGTGTGTGTGTGTGTGTGTGTGTGTGTGTGTGTGTGTGTGTGTGTGTGTGCGTGTGTGTGTGTGTGTGCGTGCATGGGCATGGCTGTAGGAGTGTGGGTGTGTGTGTGTTGCAGGGGAAGTGGGGATAATTTTTGTGAGTTGGTTTTCTCCTTCCACCAAGGGTTCTATGGGATCAAATTCAAGTTGTCAGGCTACCAAAGCAAGTGCTTTTACCTGCTGAGCCGTTTCATTAGCCCAACATAAGAATTTCAAAAGATTCAAATACCACACCACGCCACGCTACACCCAAATGAAACAAAAAAGAATTCTCAGTCTCCAAGATTTCAACATTTTAAAGAATTCAACAATCAGGCTATATCAGGTAACAGCAGAAAACAACCACTTCTACAGACAAGCTATGCTTATCTTATTTTTGAAGTAATCCAGTTACCTTAATTGCTTACTATTATTTTTGTTATGGCCATAAGATACTGTAAATGTGTAACCTTATACTCTTTCAGGGTATAAGGTTAGCAATACAGATTGATAGCAACTGATGGGTGGGAAGTCAGTTAAGAAAGATAACGGGGAAATGAAGCCTGTTTGAAGCATTACACTACAGTTCTAGTTGACCTGTGCCATATTTCTTGGGCTTAAATTCTGTGTTTAAATATTCTCTTAGCTAGTGAGAATACTCAGGAGTACAAAATATGTACTAGCTGTGTTTTCTATAGATGGCATATTTCTAGGTATCTCTGACCTGATATACATATATACACACTATGGGCACTTCTACCTTCTGGATTCTGATCTTAAGCTAAGAATTAAGACACAAAATAAAATGGTTCACATAACATCTACCACAACATGTTTAAAGATTCTTCGAGCAAGGAGGAAAAGATGTTAGTCAAAGCTAACAGCGTCATAATAATCATATGATTATTTTTGAAGTAATCCAGTTACCTTAATTGCTTACTATTATTTTTGTTATGGCCATAAGATACTGTAAATGTGTCTTGCATCACATAGAGTCTCTGGAAATAATTCCAACCAAAGAGGAAGAAAATGTCATTTCAAACACATACACACAGGGAGAGGGGGACAATAGATGTTTTGGAATATATTTCAACCTCTTCTATAGAAATAAACTGTGTCCATGCTTGAAGATTTAGAATCTCTTTGGTGGTGCTGCTGAATTTTAATTTTTTTTTATTATTTTGAGAATTTCATACCCGAGTACCATATTTTCATCATTTCTACCTCTCCCTTTTCTCCTTCCAACTCTTCCAGTGTCTCCCTGTACTCCCTCTCAACTTCATGACCTTTTTCTGTATACATTATCCTATTGAGTCCACTTAGCTTTGCTCACATGTGCATGTGTTTGGAGCGGACGGATCCCAAGTGGCTTTTCAACTCTAGAGATAAAAAGGCAAACATTTAAAAGTCAAGGCCACTTGCTGTTTTGGTTGGAGTGATACCAACCAAAGGAGTATTACAGAGTATTGGAGACTCTGATAGTTGAGAGGGTGGAGATAGAAGTTACCATTTACATGTGGGGTTGCCTGGCTCTGAGGAGCTTCCTGGGAGGAGTGTGGTGGGAGACAGTAAAATACTTCTTTCTGAGTCAGATGAGTGTCGGGTGTGATAAAAACCCTAAACTCTTCTTCAACACAGTGGTTGATCTCTTGATCTGTTTCACTTGCAGTACTCTTAGTGAGTTTCTTCCCCTCTCTGGGGGTTGTCAAGAGTTCTATAAATAATACCTTCTGTAGAGCTTCCTCTGACCTCTGCCCTTTGTTCTCATCTGCAGTGAGTTAGGTGAGTGTTTAGCTTATTCTAGGAAAATGTTTTTCAATCATTAAACCCATGGGTGAAAAATGTAGGAAAACAAAATTTAACCCCATCATTCCCATTCCAGCATCATTCAGAGGTTCAATGGGAAAGGCAGAAGAATGCAGGTGATTGAAGTAATGAGGCATCCTATTTCCTTTAGCTTCTTAGGAGAGTCTGTGTGATATGATACATGTTTTATAAAGGCTTCCAATTGTGTTCTTTTTTTCCCCTCAAACTTAAAAACAGGGGTCTTTGCTTTTTCTGTTTCAAAATGTTGACTTATCTTAGAAAGCAGAAGCTGTGGATGAGGGCTGTTTGTACCAGTGCAAAGGTTACTAGAGGATGTATTCTCATCACAGTGAATCTGTGGTCCACTGGGCTTGCTCATTTTAAACACGTGGAGCCTGGATTCGAGGGTAAAATCACTATTAGCATTTCAGTGAGAATGACATATGCCTACTGAGACAGGGACATCCAATGAAGACATGGCAAAGCATGGTCCTTATTAAGCACCAACAACTGGACATTTTCCATTCAAGATAAATATTGGTTCATTGTTGCTCCTTCATCTTACACAAACCTACCTTGTAAGGTGCCAACAGAACATACTCAGTGGTGCTAGCTTTATAATCACAGGATTGACCTACATGGGAAATTTTAAGATGTATCTTTTTTCCTCATCTAAAAACAACCTATTTAACCATTCTTAGGGATTTCATGGTTGCATGGGGGTATGCTTTGACTTCTTTTGGTTCACTTTTTCTTAAGAGAAGGAGTAGTCTTGTGACTATATGTGTTCCTGGAGATGCCAGAGGTGATAACACAATAAACTTTTAAGACTGCACAAGAGGAGACATATGGAAGTGCTGGTCCGGGTGTGTGGGCAGGGGTTGGTATTGCCATCAAGGAAGGTTGCAGTTCTTGTAATTGTCTCACTAACCTCATCTTCCTAGGTGGATTAAGTTTGAAGAAAAAGTGGAGCAGGGTGGGGAACGATGGAGCAAACCCCATGTGGCCACGCTGTCCCTGCACAGCTTGTTCGAGCTGAGGACCTGTATGGAGAAAGGATCCATCATGCTTGACCGGGAGGCATCTTCTCTCCCACAGCTGGTGGGTGAGTATGCCATTTTCATTTCCTCTTCCATTCAGATCCCTGTAGGGTAAGCAGGGTTGAGCATCCCTTGTAGCACTTGCTCTTAGAGTTCTGTCATGAAATGAGTCATTTGTGAAAAATTTAACAAATATTAAAAAAGGTAGCATTAAGAAATAATGCCCCTCTCTGGTTATGGTTATTGTTCCTATTTTGGAATATTTTCTTTCAGATTTATTTGCCAGACTTCTACTTTGTGCTTTTTTTTTAATACTCCATTTTTGTTACAGCCAAGGTCATTTTGTTACAGCTAAGGTTATTTAATGTGGATAAACATATTAATTTATTAACCCACTAGCATAATTAACATTTTTGTAGATACATGTGTATGGGGGTTCATATGCATACATGTGGATGGATGGCTGTGTATGCGTCTGTGCATACATGTATGTGAGCATGTTCCTGTGCAGGCTAGAGGTAAACCTTGGTTTCATTTCTCAGGAACCAGCTTTTTTTCTTTTTTCTTTTTCTTTTTTTTTTTTTGAGACAGCATCTCTCCTTGGGCTGGAGCTCACTGACTAGAATAGGTAGGTTGGCCAATGAGCCACAGTGATCTATCTGTTTTTATCTCTCCAGGGCTGGTATTATATGTACATGTCACTATGCCTGATTTTTTTTAAAAAACATGAGTTCTGGTGGTTGAACTTAGGTTTTCATGCTTGCATAACAATTACTTAGTTACTGAGCCATCACCTCACCCTAGATTAATATTCTGGAAAGAGAAGCCCGTCACTCTCTTATTTTAATTGGCTATCTGGACACTAGGTTTTTAGAACTCTTTGACCCTAGATGTTTCTTTGAGATTTTCTACACCTCAGTTTTATTATCTTCAAAAGAGAGTTTATATCTTAGGGAAGAAGAGAAATCCTTTGCTTCCTGGGCTGGTGTGATGGGGAGTGGATTCCCAGTCATATAGCTGTATGTGGAGAAATGTTGTGGGGCAGGATGCCAGCAGGACCTTATGAGCCACTGACTGTATCAGGTCACTTTGGCACAGAGTTATCATTCATATCACCAGAGCTTATGGAATGTCTCTGTGTGAAATTTCACCATTAATCCTTCCAGTGAGTGTATGTTTTGCTCTGCATGAAAAAAAATCTCTGGATGTAGTTATATATTTATTTCGTGTGATACTGAGTGGTTTCACAGAAAGAGTGCTGGGATTGCAGTGGGATAGCAGTCTTCCTCTCCTAGTGTGGATGGTCATGGCCAAAACTCATTACTTAACCACTCTTGGAGTCTCAGTTTCCTCATCTGTGAAAGCAATATTAAGGTGCACACCAGAGTTTCCTTTCTTGATGCTATGATAAAAATACCTTGATTAAGGCGACTTTAGGGGAGAAAGGCTTATTTTAATTTGTGATTCCAGGCTGTGGTCCATCATAGCTGCAAAGTCACAAAGGCAGTAGCCTTAGAGAAGTGTTCGCATCACATCCATCTCCAGGAACAGAGAGCAGGGAAGGCGTGGGTGCTTGAGCTCAGCTTGCCTTCTTTTTGTCTAGTCCTTAGAATGCTGCTGTCTGCCTTTAGGCTGGGACTTGTCACATCTGTGAACATAACAGAAACTGTCTCCCACAGACATGTCCACAGCCTTATCTAATCTGTGTGGTCCCTGCCAGAGATGCCCATCCCAGGTGATTCTAGACTATGTCCGGTTGACAGTGGAAACTGAGCATCACAGTGTCCCTTTCAGAGTCATTAGGAGAATTAAGTAAGGTCACCAGCCCTGTTGGGCTCATACTGTCTCCCAGTGTAGTTAGCTACCTAGATTTTCCTACTTGTCACATGACAGACCCCTACTTAAAGTCTGATTTGAGTCTGGCAGTTAGATGCTTGGGGGTTTCATAAACAGAAACAGAAAAATTCCAAAGAGTATGGACTGAAGAAATGGAAGAACCTTTATTCATTCATTTATATTCATCCATTTATTTGTTTATTTATATTTATATTTTTGCTGGTCTTAGAGCCGATCAACAGGGTGATAAGTTTCTTTTTCTGCAAAGCTGAACTTTTCTGCTAAGCTGTCTTTGTGGTCCTCAATTCCAGAAGGACCTATCGTAAAGAGTTTCTGGTCTCTAGCAACACCTTGACTCTCTGTACATAGCAGAAGACAGAGTCCCACATCAAATTAGACCCTCTTTAGCCAATGGACAAACACTGAAGATCTGACATGTACTATATTTAAAAAAGATGAATTGAGCATTTGATGTTCTTGCTTAATTTCCCATAACATTTTATTATTGGCTTTGGACTCTTCCACCCTCCATGCATTTGCTTTAAATATTGTCATTTCATGTTAAAATTAGACAGCACTAGGTCACTTTGAGGTATCATCACTCACTAATATGTTTGCTCTGCAGTCCCTGGGGCAAGGAGGCAGAGTGCCAGTGCTATCATTCTGGTACTGATAATACAGGAAAGCAGTTCAGAGGCAAACCACACATCATGAGCAAAACAAAGGGAGGAAAAAAAAAAGGCCAGCATGGCAGAAGAGAAAAATAGAGCTTGCTTAAAGGAGTGCAACCCAATAAAGAAACGAAAATCCTCCAACAGAATGAAAACCCATGGAGAATAAGATATGAGCAGTACAAAGCCTGCATTTCATTTTAAATGACAGAAGACAGTGCAGTAATTTGAAGAGTTATAATGATTATTTTGTTATTAGGAAAATGTTTTCCTAGCAGAGGATGAAGTTGCTATGTCCTGCATATACCAGGACATATGATAGCTACACCCTCCTAAATCTCGTGTTGTGTTTCCTCCCAGCAGCCCAGTTTTACTTCAGAAAATGGGAAGAAAAGAAATGATAGCAAATATGATTATACCCAACAGATAGTAGGATGATTTCTAGCCATCTTGCTGGTTTACCTACTATTGTTTCTCTTCATCTGCCCCTGAGAGGAAGATCACTGCAGGTCATAGGCAATGTCATGGGGATGTTCAGAGCATGGTGGGAAAATGTCATTCTTACATTAAAATTAGCTTACCTCTGATTCTTTTCAGGACCTCTGTGCTGTGTGTGTGTGTGTGTGTGTGTGAGAGAGAGAGAGAGAGAGAGAGAGAGAGAGAGAGAGAGAGAGATCCCTACTGTATTTTAATAGAAAAATTTGTCTTTGAAGCATTACAGAAGACAAGACATAATTTTGGGGGGTTATTTTAATAGGTTTATTATTAGCATCACCATTGTAATCCTACATGTTAAGGGTGTCATTCACACACGAAGTCAAGTTCATGGAATTTTCTTCTACTCTTAAGTTTAAAAAGAAAGCTGTAATCCATTTCAGGTATTTAGCACAGTGCAAAATGGATGAGAAAAATGTAGCTCTATTTTTGGAGCACACACACACACACACACACACACACACACACACACACACACACACACACACGCACACACGCACCCCAAGCTCTGGTTGTCTGCAGATGTGTGAGTCCTGATGTTTATTGATTTCTTTTTCTTAAAAGAACCCTACCTTTTATACTTTTAAAATTTATATTTATTGCTCTTTATAATCATAAAATTAATATATGCACATTTAAAAATAATCCATAAAAATTGTACTATAAATATAAAACCTTCACTAATTTTACCTCAGAAGTGAAACATTCCCTAATTTAATTTTGAAATATAAAACCTTCACTAATTTTACCTCAGAAGTGAAACATTCCCTAATCTAAAATTACCTATCATCTCAACATTTTTCTTCTATGTAACTCTGTTTATGCACATGAAATGGAATTACAGTACCTCTTCACAAAATGGAATTACAGTACTTCGTGTGTGTGTGTGTGTGTGTGTGTGTGTGTGTGTGTGTGTGTGTGTGTTGCATGTGAATGTGTGAGGATATGGGTGTTTGCACTGGTGGAGGCTAAGGTTATGTGTCTTCTTCATCAATTTTGGTCTTATAGCCTTGAGACAAGCTCCCTCACTGAACCTGAAGATTTCTGTATATGGGTGATCTAGGATGGATGGCTAGTGAGCTCACTAGGTCTTTCTGTATCTGCCTTTAATGCTGGGGTTATAGGCATGCATAGTCATGCTAGACTTTTTACCTGGGTGCCAGGACTTGAACTCAGGTCCTTGTGCTTGCAGAACAAGCACTCTTACCTGCTGAGCTATGTCTCCAGTCCCATGGTTCATCATTTTAGTTTGTATTTGCTTAAAGATAAAAACATAAATATCAATATTTTCCCGTTGTTCTATAAATAAAACATAATAACTGTAAAATAATCCATGAGGTATTTGGGTGGCCTTTAAGTTTTTATTATAAAGAAAAGTGCAGATTTTTGTTACAATTTTGCAAAATTGTTTGATTAGTATAGAGTTCTAGTTGTAGAACATCCAAAAGTTTTGAACATATTGAATGGTTTTGGTATGCTTTTGCCAAATGTCTTAGTCAGCACTGTCACAGTCAGGGAATAGCTATAGCGTGAAGTCTTTCACACTGGGATACATGATTTGGATAGACCTAACCAATGTCTTTATTAGGTATACTCACATACATTTATTTACATTATTGTTAATTTTTGAAGTTAAGAAATATTTAGTTGGCCCCAGGTGTCTTTTTTTCTGAATGCTTGCTTGTCCTCATTTCCATTTTCCAAATTCTGGCCACCTTTCTGTTGGTTTGCAAAAGCTCTGCATGGGTTGTCTCTCTGCCTAGTCCGTGTTTGACTTTTTTTGAGGCTCCAGCGGCTTTGAACTCCCTTTTTAGCTCATGCTGCTAGGAACTTGCTATCCTTCTGCTTAAGCGTCCATAGTGTTAGCATCACAGTCATGCACAAGTGTGCCTGGTGGGCTTCCTTTTTAAATATCGTAAATACTGTATCAAATGAAGAAAGATCTCAAATGTGCATCGGCCATCTGGCTTTTAGTCAGGGTTTTGCCTCTAATTAGTCTGTATGGGGGGAAGTCACTTCTTTTCTCCTCTTTCTCACCTGTGTAACAAGAGCTGAACTTGATGTTCCCCAAGGACTCCTTCAGTTGCTGTCATCTAGACTTGGCTCATTTTCTCCCAGTTGGTAGTGTCTGTGGGAGCTGAACACCGAACACTTAATTTCAGTGTGGTTGTAAAAGTGACTGCCCCCACTTTCCTTTGAAAGGTTTTGTAGTCGAAGCTTAAAGAGATCCTGTTATGTGGGCCATTTTTATGGAAGCTTAATGAAGGCCGTAAGCCACATGGTTGTTGTAACCTGTCTAACTGGTGATTCCCAGGCATTAGTACAGAGGGCTGGCTATGCATGCATATGCACTTCGAAGCCTTGCCAGGAAGGCTAGATAAGAAACACTTTAACCCACAGCCCTGGAATTAGAACTGGAATCTGATGATACTTGGGGCAGATGTGTTGGGGCTGTTTATTTTTGTGGTTCTTCTGTAAATGGACTTTCCACTCAGAATGGGACTTACAGGGAAAGTAGAGGGTTGTGCCCGAAAGCACTCAGTTACTGAACTGTGGAACAGGGAGCTAATTGTACTTCCAGGGTCATTCTCAGGCTTTTACTGAGTGGCGTTTGTGTGCTTAAAAATACCCAAAGTTGAAGGCTACTTTGAAACCAAAACACTCGCAAGAGAAACTTCCTGCCTCTTCCAGGTCCCTTACCAAATGGTCCATGTCTCTGTGCTAGGCAAATGATGGAAAATCCTTGATTGAGCCTCTTTTTGGCTTACAAATGGCCAACTGTCCACTGTGTAAATTGCTGGCTTCTAGATGTAGACTGTGAGGCTGAGTGCTTGCTTTAAAGATGAACTGACAATAATAGTGCCAAGAGTCTTCAGCAAGGTCCTGGGGACACCTGCACCTTCTCTTCAGTGCAGGATTCCTTAAGACTGTCTATTGTCCTTCCACCCACTGAATTTTCTATCAGACTTTTGCATAAGAACAGGCTCCTTTTTGTACTCTCCCCCCACAGGAGTTTCCTAAGAGGAGGTGTGCACCCCTCAGACAGATTCTGGCCTGTGTCACTCTGAGTGGAGGCAGAGATTAGAATAGGATGCTCAGACTTCCTGTGGCTGTGAATGCACTTACCTGTGAGAAAGAAGGCTTGTTTTCTACTGCAATAATATTTGGTGTGTGTGTGAGCATGTGTGGTGTGTGTGCACATTCTCGAGTGTAGGCCAGAGTTGTTTGGGGTGTCTCTTTTAATTGCTAACCACCTTATATTTGAGATAACGTCTCTTATGGAACCTGTGGACTCCGGAACTTTGCCGGTCTTCACCACTTCACACTTCACCACATTCTCCCGCCCCCCCCCACCCCCTGTACAAGGTTACAGATGAACAGCACTGTACCAGGCTTTTTATGTAGATGCTGTGGATTCAAACTCAGACCCTCCTGCTTGCACAGTGTAGGACTTTACCACCTGAGCCATCTCCCCAGCCCCCAAAGCCATTCTCTTTTTAAAGTTAAAACATTAAAGAGTTAATCGAAACAATTTTTTTTTTGTAGTAAGACTAAGATATTAAAGTCCTAAAATCATGTTAGTCAGGCTGTGTTTGAAAACAAGGTTTTAATTGGAGTTCCCCGGGAAAATTAAATCTAACATCTCTGAAAAGATTAGTATATAATTTCATAGCTTAATCTTTTCTTCATTAGTTGTTCTGATATTGGGAAAGGTTTTAAAGAAAACATAACTTAGAAGAACTGAGGAGATAAGTCTTTAGAAATCATTCCTCATGACTTTACAATGTACAACTTCTCTTTTTTTTTTTTTATACCTTTGATGTTATGTAATACAGGGCATGAAAATTTGAACCTTACTTTTTAAATTTAAAAATGAAAATTTCTGACTGTTGGTCACAGAAACTTTGATTTAGGGGAGTTTACCTTTACTGGGCTATTAGAAAATAAAAAGAAATAAGGACAGTTCTACCTTTCTAATGACAGTTAATGCTAGCGTGTTTATAATTCTCTCATTAATGCCAGAATTCTGTCCCTTCATATGAAGTGGGAAGTTGGAGTTTTGGAAAATAATGTATTGATGATAGATTTGGTGGTGAGGTGACATCCATAAAGCTAGAGTGACAGTTAGCTTTGTGGTTTGGCGTCTGATATTTGTGTCACTTTGCTTTCCATCAGAGATGATTGCTGACCACCAGATTGAGACAGGCCTATTGAAGCCTGACCTTAAGGATAAGGTCACATACACTTTGCTCCGGAAACACCGGCATCAAACCAAGAAGTCCAATCTTCGGTCCCTGGCTGACATCGGGAAGACTGTCTCCAGTGCAAGTAGGATGTTCACCAACCCTGATAATGGTAATACAAAGCCAGCTGGCTGCTGCTGTCTCTTCCTGTATCACTCACCTTTATTCCATCCCTTCGAATCCTTCCTCCTTCCTCTTTACTTGTCTTTTCTCAAGGTCATGTGCCATAGTCATTTCATGATCCTTTTTATACAATTGGGCAGGTGTGCAATCTTGCTGGAAAAGTTTCACTGTTGCTATAGGTTACAAAGCCACAGTGCCTGGCCTCGCCATATGTGTCTATGCTGATTGACTGAAGTGGCTTGTTAAGGCCTCTTAGTGAAACAACTGAGGATTTCAGATGAATCAGCAAGCTTGCAGATAATATGGAGTACCTCAGGGAATATGTCTTCAAGATGACTTACAACAACTAGGAGTATCTAATAAGATATGATAAATGCTTTGCAATATCACATAATAACATTTTGCTTTAGGATGGTTGTTTGTGTCTAATCTATTAGTGTTCATCTTACTGCTATATGACTCAATATTATTTTTACCACTTGAAAAGGCAGTTGATTTCTTGATAAATAATAATCATATTCAGATGGAAGTATAATTATCCAAGATGGGTTATTAACTCATTATGTAAAAATAGGAAAGGTACTATGCTCTTGTTACATTTATTTTATTGTATTTACTACAATTTCTTGCAAAGTGTCTCTCTTTGGCATCATTCCCATCGGTGGAAATAAATTTCATGTTTGGGTGCAGTTTGAGAAGGGGTGAAATAAGTTTCCATGAATTGTGGGAAATGAAGATGTGGTGAGCAGATAAGAATTAGATTGGTAGAATGAGCCCTAGACTCTACCACCATTGTGTCTCCTTAGTACCAAGAGAGTGAGGGAAGTGTAGTCACCTGTACTTTCATAATATGTTCTCAGACACAAGGCAGGTCACAATCATTATAGAAAGTGAATGTGATCCCAGTCGGTCCATATCCAGGAATGTCATTTTTCTCACTTAATACTCAAAGCTAATGAAGATAGATTACTATAAACAAAATTTCGTATTTTTAAACCCAAACTGTCTATAAAATAATTAAGAGATGAATGCTTTCAATAGAACACATTCACAAGAGAGACAGAGAGTCCATTTTAGGATGTTTTTGCTGTGATTTGATGCTTCTACTGTTACTGGGAGCATTGCTGCCAACAGAGGTATCTTGTATTTTATATGCTTTTTGATTTATTTTTGAAGGAAGGGTTCTTCAGTGCCATTGCTTGGGCAGGCTGTTGTAATTCATCTTACAAACACTTCATTTTAACCAGCATGTGTATCTGCAACTATGGGAGCTAAATTTCAGGTTTCTTTTCTTTTCTTTTTTTAAAACTCAGACAACAGGTAGAGGTTTGCTTTAAATCATTGTATCAGTAGTAGTACATAGAGGTACTACTCATGTACTCATAGTACATGCTCATATGTTGCATTGAGGAGTCACTGGCTGCCAGGGTGCTCCTTTTCCAGAAGGGTGAGATGCCTTTTCACACACAGAGCAGAAACTAGACAAGGGTGAGTCTCAGACACCAACCTTTTGGAGAAGGTATTTGGATGTGAGGTACAAAGAATGAGTTAAGATTGTTCCTTCTTCAATACTTCGTCCTCACAGTAGATCCCAGACTACAGAGGAAGCTGAACTTGCCTTCATCATTCACCTCTCATTTGTGCAATACTCTACATGCAGGGCAGGAAGCAAATGGGAAAGGGCAGGCGGTTTTTTTTTTTTTTTTTTTTTTTTTTTTTTTTTGTTTTTTTTTTTTTTTTTTTTTTTTTTTTTTTTTTTTTTTTTTTTTTTTTTTTTTGGCTTCTCAAATGATCAGCCTACACCCTGAAGCATAGGATACGATTAGTTTGTTTCAAACATGTTATTATTGGCCTTTATGTTACCCAACACTTTAAATATCACAGGCAAGATTTGGCCTTGTGAGGTCCTACAGCAATGACTTACACGTGCCTCCAAGGTACATGATCATAAATCATGAGTTGGCACGTTTTTGGCTTTCTACAGGTGCTTGTTCTTAACCTGCAAGTTTGTACGGTTACTTTTGTGTCTTAGGGCTTAATCACTTAATATACCTAAGGACTATGTAATGCTCTTTGAATAAGCATCCAAAGTAAGGAATTATATACCTATCACTGCTCTTCTAATAATCAAGAATCTTAGGTTGACTGTAGTTGGAGCTGCGCTGTAATATCCTCATACAAAGCCTAGATAAATATAAATCACCTTAGCCTTAAATATAGACATAGGTCCTCATGACAGAGACTGTTTTGGCTATGCCAGCAACAGCATGACAGATAGCTGAATGGCATGGAGCCACTTAAGTCAAGGATTGTTTAGCTTCTACTGGTGTCTCAGAGTTAGTTTCATCTCTTCACAAGATCCAGCTGTGAGGGAAGATTCTGCCAGCAGTGTGTTATATGTGGCTCTGTTAAATTCCATTAGCATTCAATTAAATAATCATATTTAAAAACTATGGCAATACTCAAAATGAAGGACTTCTTATTTGGTTGATGACAGTTTACTATAATCTGTGCACTTGTGGTGATTTCCTCCTGTGTGTGAGGGTGTGTAAATACTATAAAATAGGTCTGTTTCTGGTCTCATCATGCACCGGGCCCCAGTGTTGATTCCAGTGGCTTCACGTTAATAATTAAGCTCTGCTACAAGGGCAGTGTTCACACTGTAGAGACCCGCAAGTACTAGAAACCAGGACTTGCTTTATTGGTCTAGTTGTTCCTAAACTTTAAAAAATGATGGAGAAAATACTAACAATGCAGATTAAATGCAAAGCACATACTTAACTGTATACAGCTTCTAAAACACAATCCCCTAGGGTTGAAAAGATTTTTTGGTGGTTAAAATTCCTCTTTGATTTAGTACAGACCAACTGAAACACCACTGACCAATGAGTGAAGCCTAAAACACATATTTATTGTCTCATTTTCTCTTATTACCATACATGATAATATAATCACTCAGACTGACTCACCCTGTGCTTCCTTCCCTTTGGTTCATTATCATGAGCTCACTTTTAATTAGTAAAAAGTTAGTTTTCCTACCAAAGAATTGGAAAGATAGTGCAGTCCATTCTGATGCCTGTAAAATAAATACTGAAAAATCCAATGAGATACATGAGTGCCTAGAATGGTAGTCGACAGTTAGTAATCACTTTACAAATGAATTCAGTTATATGCGAGGTGTAACACACAACTATGCAATACAGATTTCAGAAGAATAGGAATGTCTTCTGGACTATTTGCTTGGGTAGCTTCCTCTTCAGGAAGAAACTCTTAGAAATAATTTTTATGTGTGTCTTCATACTTTTTTGGTAAATGGTGTTAGTGCCCATTGTGTAACAGTGGGAGGGGAGGAGGCCATTTCTCCTCATAGTCTGAACCTTCCTTGCTTTTGCTTACAAGGCTACAAGAGGAATCCTGATCCATTCTGGACATCCAAGGAAACTTCTGCATGAGGCAGTGAGGAGTCGGGGAAGGTGGTAGCTCCAATCAGGGCAGCTGGCTCCTAGGGCTCACATAGCTTTCCTTACATTATCAATAGTACCCCAAGTTCTCTTCTGTATTTTTAGAGATCCACAGCCTACTGCTGCTCAACATGCCACTGGGTTCAGCTTAAATTCACTGCCTTTTCCACCCTCCTCTTTATGAAGGTGTGCAAAATGTAATCAACAGGACTTCACAACTTGGTGCAGTCCTGGCTTCTGTATCCGGACTCTTTGTTCCAGGTTTTCTCCCAGTCAGGAAGCTGATGCCTTGTTCTTGCTCATGTAACTGCTTTGGCATGAGCACAGAAGAGCTTTGGATATTTAAAAAGCCATGTGTCGTTATTACTGGAACCTGGGCGGTGGGAACAGTGCAGAACAATCTCTGGGAAGAAACCACAGCTTTTGCTGTTGTTACTGTGGTAGTTCTAGAATCCAGAGAAGTAGAGGTGGTATTAGTATTGGTATTAGTCAGGCTCTTTTGCATTGAATCTGACTTGAGCTTAGGCCCACTTGAGCTATGGGGTGTGAATATGAGATCAGGCTGCCTTGACACTGGTGTGAATTAGATCTGGCTGGGACTACAGCCAGGCTTGGCAGCTTTCTCTGTCCCTTTAGCAGTTCTTTGCTTTGGGTCTGGGCTTTGGATTCTAATTTTTCCAGTTGTCTTTAGCTGCATTGTTCTACTTCCCACTTTTCTCTGACATATTACTGAATTCGGGCATGATCCCTATAGCAGTAATCTAGAGCAAGCATTTTCCTAACTTCCCTCAAAGATTCTGTTCTTCTGAAGTAGGTTTCATGTGTCTCTACTTCTGAGATGGTTAGGTGGCATCTTTTTTCCTTAGGCGAATATCTCTTTCTGATGAGCATGGCATCCCAGGTGCCTTTCTAATTGCAGCCAGCTCCTTCCAAAGCCCAACAGCCCAAATCCATCTGTTTGGTTCTGGACCCTCATTCTCTGTGCATTTGCACAGCACAGATGAATGTTTTGGCCAGAGCTCAATGCAATGATGATCTTTCCAACCTGATAATAAGCAAGGCAATCTATGGCGAGTCACTAACAAAGTATCCGAATGAAGTCTCCTGCTAATGATAGCAGCTACCGTGGCTATTTCAGGTAGTATGTTTCTAAGTCATCCATAAGACACCAGTCTTACTGCTTTTACCCAGGTCTTCCAGATCTGCAATATTCAAACTTATCATACTTATGAGTCCATCCTACACTTTATGACAGTGAGAAGTCAGGCTTAGGAGTAGAACACAGTGAATCTTTAGGCCTATTCAAGGCCTGTTTCCCCAATCTTCTTGAAGACATGATGCCCTCTCTTCCAAAGGTTTTTGTAGCAGTCCTTGATCGTATAAGTAAGTACATGATTTTTAGAGTTATGTAATTGCCTTGAGTCTTGTTATGTCTGTAACGTAAGGGTAATAGTGTGTTATTCTGTTTATGTTACCAGGAGTAGGTAAGATGTATTATGAAAATACTTTTATTAATAACATAAGATCCTGGTCTCAGGTACAGATAATATTCAGAAATATCTTGAGGGATACTTTTAGTGACTTTCAGGTTTAAAATTGAGGGCAGATCATCAATTTACCACTTTCAGCTTGTGTTTTGTTATTGCCTGTGCTCCTCAGCCCCCTCCTCCCGTCACTCTAATGGGGAAAGATTCTTGAGGTTTCTATTTTAGAGCAGCATTACATTTGTTATCAGGTTGACAGCTATCAAACAATCCACAATGAGTTGCCACACCTGGACTTTATAGTATTTTAAATTGCTACATAAAGTATCAAGACTGACCAACACGTGTGAGCACTGACAGGCTTTAGCTATCAGAGAACAGCATAGGACGTTGCCATGAAATGCATAGTTTTAAAATTTTTACTAGTTGACAGTCTAGTCCATGCGGCCAGAATCTAAGATAGAGCAATGTCACAAATGGTTCTCTTTGTCTTAGAGTGGCACAAATGGGTATTGAGTGCTTTACACCTGGTCTCCAAGAACAGTCACATGCTGCTGCAAGGCTGGAGAGACCATCCAGGACTTGGGACACTAAGTCAAGTCACCCTTGAGAAGTCTTATTCTCCATAGCCTTATTTTGCTCTGAGAGCAGATGAGAGGGAGGGTGGTGTAGATCTGGGGCTGTGCCCCTGTCTTCATAAAAGAGAACTATAGAAGAGGGGTGGGAAGGCAGCAAAGAGGAAGAACAGGGGACAAGTCAGAAGAAATGAGTGTGACCTACTATCTATTATGTCTTCCCAAAGGAAAGAGGAGAAGAGAATGTTGAAGTCTTCTAAAACTGGCCAACCTACCTCAGTCAGCATAAACTGTCTTTCATTAAAATACATGACAAAAAGTCTTCGCCAGTTCTTGAGTTAAAAGCTGGATTTATCCATTTTATTAGATAGTGATGTGTATTTGTTTATAGGATACAAAATGAAGTCCTGTATATACAATGTAGAGTAATTGAATTAAGCTAGTTAATATACCCATTACCCCAATACTTACTGTGCATTCCTCATGTTGAACTGCAGCAGCTTCTCCCAACTCTATAACCTCAGGGAACTAATGGTCCTCCTGTGCTCTCAGGTGATATGGAGTGCACATGTAAAAGTCACATTTGTCTTTCTTTGTGCATCTCATTGCACCTAATGATCTCTCCACTCATCCATGTTGCCACATATAACATAATCACCCTTATCTTTAGGACTGAATAGTACCCTTTCCTTTATGTAACAATATGTTTTTTTTATTGGCATTTATATTGATTTCACATCTTGGCTATTGTGAACTATGCTGCATTAATACAGAAGTGCAGATACATCTTTTAAACATTGCTTTCAGATCTTAAAAGTTACTTTAAATCAGGTCAAGCTGCTGTCTTTAGTGTTTTCTACTACCCTTCATGATGCTGGACAAAGCAAATATCAGGAGTATTAGTAGTAACAGCACAAGTGCTTGTTCCCAATATTCAAACACCTGTTTTACAGCCAATATGATCTATAATAATTATAATATATGCAACATCTCCATTTGCAGGTGAAAGTCTTGAAACTCAGATGTAAAATTAACAGACAAACATAATTAGCGGAGGGACCAAATGTTGAATGTTTACTTTACAACAATATGCTAGTTCAGTTACAGAGAAATAAGCTTCCTCTGCTGTAATCTATTTCCTAGTTCTCAGTGAATTCTGGGTCTCTTACTCCATACAGTAATATGATGTTGATATGATGGACTTTGGTGGCCATTATCTAAGCAGGACCACACCAAACAAGGGGGTCAGTCAAATGCTTTATCAGATTTTCAAGTGGATATTTCTAGGAAGCATGTCTCACGTGTGCTTGTAGAAGAAGGCTGCTGTGTCAGGTAATGTCATAGCTGAATAACATGTTGAAAGAGCAGTCAATGTTCAGTAATCATTTAAACATACAGTTCTGCGTTTCTACCAAGAGCCCCAAAACATTTACAATGAGCAAAGTCTATTTTCTCCTTACTAAGGAAGATTTTGCTAGAGAAATTTCTCTTTGTTTGCTTGGTTCTAGGAGAGATGCTAGATTTAGGAGCAGATTTAGGATTGATGGCTTTTGGTAAGTTGATTCCCAAAGGGAATATGAGTCATTACTACCCCCCCCCCACAGCACCATTTTCTACAATGTAGACATTGGAAACCATCACTCAGAAGTCTTCAGAACCATGCATTTCCTTGTCAAGCCAGAGTGGCATAAGCCAGTTCCTATCTTGTTTATGCCTGAAGTCAGGCAAAAGTGATTTAAAAGAAAGCATGTATATTAGCAAAGCCAAGCTGTCTATTTTGTAACTGAAGTGAGAAGAGCTATGGCGAATGTATTATGTAGAAAAGGTATACAGAATGTGTCATTATTCTGCTCTAATTCTAGAAAGTTATCCTCTAGATTTCAGAACAGCTTTTCAAAATTTCATCACTAGAGTAAATTTGTGAATTGAAAAAAAGACAAAAGGCAACCCAAAAGGGTTTCATCATTTATATCTCTCTCTGCATAGAATACAAAGGGTCCAACAAATCAATGTGTTGGAATTTGCCATTGTAAGTAATGGATGCTGTGAGCCTCCATGTTTTCACTAGGATAAGCAGCCAGATGGCTCCAGTAAGGTTTCCTGAATCACAGGTGCCAAGTCTCTACGGGCAGTTACATTTTTGTGCCTGCTGGAGCCAGGTTCTTGGCTGGTATCTGCCAGACTCCATTCCACTGTCCTCTTAATGGGGAGGCTCAGCATTCATGGAGGCTTTGTATACAAAGAGGAATCTCTAGGATTAGTTCCCAACAAGTACCACACTGACAAGTGGAGGCAGCTGAGGGAGAGAGACTGGAAGTTACTTACTAGCTTCAAAGGACTGGGTACACCTGCTAGTCTTTCTCTCAAGAGCAAACCATGAGATCCAAGAGAAAATTTTTCCAGCTCTGTTCTGCTTACCAGCTAAAGGACTGAATGCTGTTTTGCTTTTACTTTGTATTCTCACCTCCAGCAGTTCTCCCTGAACATATCTTAGTGCGCCCTTGTTTACACTTAGATGTCTTTTCGTATAGGTAGGCCTATAGGAATATTGGCCCTTAAACAGGTCTATATGTTGTCAAAAGAAATAGGAGGTGAGACTTGGTCAGTATGCTGATGGATATCTCTAAATGCTTCCCTCCTGACAGAAAAAAACTTTGGAATAATCTCAACTGGTTCATTTTGCTTTTTCATTTTTTCTCAGTGCAATAAAAACTTGCAAAGAAGTTCAATTATGGAAAACAATTAAAAATTTAGATTGCCAGAGAGAAGACATCAGATTTGCTTCAAACAGGTGCTGGCACAGAGGGCCTGCTAACAAATGCTGGCTTTATTTACAGCTTTTAAACAGACTGACAAATTTACAAAAATGTTTCTGGAGTTTATAATGTGCCCAATGCCCAAACTTGGCCATAAATTTATATTCATTTGTAAATGGCTTGATTTAAAGACTGACCTCTCTGGTCACCAGTATAGTCTTATAAAATGACCATTTGCCTGCCCAGTCTTGCACACAATGTGAATAGATTATCTAATGGCTATGTTTGATGGAATATGCTAAATGTATTACCTTGATAATATAATGATTATTTTTATTATTAAGGGGAAAATCCTCTTAAATCTGAAGTGTGATTTGCATCATGGTCATGTATTTCCAACATCACTATCTTACTTTAAAGGAGTAGGACAGTGCCCTATTTTTACTAGCTTTGGAGCACGGTGCACAACCGAGACTAGCAAACCAAGTGACCCGAGGTCCTAAGAGCAGATGGTCCTGTTCTAGGAGGAAGCCAGTCATGCCTTCCAGTTGATGAAACACACCTAGAAAAACTTGACTGAATGTTCAGCTTGGATCATTATCTTTGATTTGGAACGGATACACCAAGGGTTAAAGTTCTAGTAAAATTAGATATTGGAAGGCACTGGAAAGTGAAGACCAAAACTACCATTTCAAATGGGTTTGTATTAAAGTACACAAGCTTATCCATGTCCCAGTGTCATATTACTGCAGGGGTAAAAAACAGAAAATTGAGAGCCAGTCTGTGTTCATCAAGGAAAATATCCTAGACACAATGTCTGGAATATTGCTTTGTGCACTTGTCTACAAACTCCGAAACCAGACTATTGGGTAGATACTACAAAGCCGCTTACTAACATCCTATCCTCTATGCTTTACAAAACTGTGTGTGCTACTTCCCTCTGTGTGCTTATGTGGCAAACAGTTAACAACAGTCCTGATGTTGTGTCTTCAGATGAATGTTCATTGTAAAAATCTGTCTTCTGGATATAATCCATGTTTTGTGTATTGGATCCGCAGGATGAATCATCCATTTCTGTTTGGGGAGCTATAATGATTGAATGCAATTTTCACAAAACCTTGTTCATTCTTTGTTGGTATTTGTGCCATTTAAGGGCTCAGGGTCCTGGGAGGAGGTGAATGCCATTGTAACATGTCACTGTTCTCCTTTAACCCACTTGTGTGATTTGCCTTAGTATTTTTTCTTCCTAATTAATGCTTCCATCTTCATCCTTGCTATGGCTGCTCATGTGTCTTCCACTTCCTGTCTTCTGCTTCTGGCACTAAAAGCCCGCAGCCCGCTTGAGAACTCAGTGCCCTGCCTAGCAAACCGCACCTTGGATGATGACCCCCGAGTGCGGCGCACTCCCAGCGTGGGATGGCTCAGTAAGTCAATGGGTGGGGAAAGGGCAAAGATGGTGGTGGTGGGGAGAGGGAGGGCAGGACGACTGGGTTACCTAGTGGAGTGAAGACCATCACTGAGAAGTGCTCTCGAGAGCAGTGTGTAAGGATTGCTAAACCTGGGATGACTGGTTGCTCCTATCACAGAATTTTCTCTGTGGCTTGCTGACCTGGGTCCAGTACCTTGTGAGGTAGTAAGAACTGTGCAAGGGTAAAGGTCAGGAATGGCATAGAAGCCTCTATCTAGGGGTCAAAGTTTCCTCATACCAATGATGGTTTCTCTCCAAGGATGTAAGGATGCTAACTTGAGATTCGGTCCCTCCGTGGTAGTTAGGAAGAACTTACTAAGTTGAGGACTTAACCCTACAAATGCTCAGCATATGCCTGATATGGATGATGACCTAGAGCTTGAGGGAGAACCGTTTCCCTTGTCAAATATGGAGCTTTGCTGAAACCAAAGCAGAAATCTGTTTGTACAGACAATCACATGGATATTTTTTTGCCTCCCAAATTTCTAAATTGATCATGTAGACTTTTTCCAGATGTCAAGAATCTCATGTATGGTGACATTGTTAGGTCTCTGCCTTTTCCTATTTTAGCATTAGAAAATTTCACTTTACTGTGAGTATGTCTTTTTCAGCTGACTTAGTGGGAAAAGGTTTAGTTCATCCTAAAATAGTGTTTGTTGAGCTATATTCTTTCAGGACTTCTCTTGCTATAAATTTTATGTTTTAAGAAACTATTAATAATCTCTGTGCTTCATAGAGATATAAATAAATGTCTTCCATATCACTGCACACCAGGCACTGTTGGGCTCTTGTGCATTCAGAGATGAATCACGTGGATCTTTGCCCTCAAGGGGTTTCCTTTCTAATGTGGGAGGCAGAGCTCAGGTTATTATTATTTGTATAAGATGATAGACTGCTAAAAAAAATGCACGCATACCTACCTGATGCTCACCCATAAAACCAAGTAAGACTTCGGAAGTGGCTTGGCCTGACGGTGCTCATAGCAGAAGAAGGTTCTTTGAAGAGGGAGAGACTTGATTTTGGAGGGAAGAACTGAGGGAGGATGAGCCTAATTTTGAAGTATTAACTTGGCAATCTTTTTTTTTTTTTTGCTGGAAAGTAAGTCTAACCATGAACATTATTTTATTACTCTTCATGATCTCTGGGCTCAGTAAATTTTGGGATACCATTTAGCTTGCTTAGCAACCTGTGTGGCAGCTAGTTCCATAATCTACACTTCCCAGATGAAAAAGGCAAGACTAGAGAGTTTAGTAACTTCCCAGAAACACACAGCTCATGTGTATATAGGGCAGGATTTGGTTGTTTCTATTGCTATATGGTGGGTGTAGGGGGTGTATTATTTATGAGTAGGAGTTTACAAAACCAGGTTGCTAGAAAGATCTATTTGTTGTTCAGTACAGTTCTAGCACCTACATGGTTTCCTTTGCAAGAATCATATATTTCTGTCTTATAAATCCATGTATTTCCTAGTGATGTTTCCTGGGAAGCAGTTCTGGCTTTTGAGTTTAGAATCGGACTGAATAAGGTTTGGATCTTTGATCTACCACTGATGGTTTTGTGACATTGGGAAAGCTACTTCTGTATTGTCAACTGGGTTTCTCATGTATAAAACTGTGTCAATCTTGACAACATTGGATCTTTTTGAGAATTAAGAAGTGTCTGTAGCACAGTGCCCGGTACTCAGTCATCCAGGTGCTAGTAGTATTATTTCTTGAGCAGTTCTATTTTTGTGCTTGAAAAGCTTATCTATATTCTGTATCAGATACCCAAACAAAAAAGCATCAAGGGAATTGGTAACAGTGGTAAAATTGCTGTTGATAAGTTTGTTGATGGCTGCCATATGAAATCAAGCCTAAGATGAGACCCATGATAATTTAAGAAGACTTCTCTCAGTAAGGAGTGAATTCTTTTTACTGTCTATTTATATTCTCTCCTATATGTTCTCTTCCTAAACTCCTGTCTTTGATGTACAGCCTCAGTCACCTTTTGCGGGGCTCCTATTATTTACCATGTCAGTCCAATCAATTAAATACCTAATGAGCAGCCCAAGTTATGTAAATTAGGATTAAATACTGTTGGCTCCACCTTTCTACCCAGCTTCATTTTTGTCTACTGTTAATGTGATGTGAACCTCTCTCCTAATCAGCTCATCCTTTGCGTTTTGGTCTCTAAGATGGTAAACTCTTTAGCTGAACTCCCCACCTGCCTACCATAGACTTTTAAAGTAAACTTAATCGAAAGCAGGTAGGATATGCATGAAATTCCATCTCCTTTATGAAATAGCTCCTATAATCACAGATCTTTTAAGTATTAGAATACTACAGCATCTATTGATTGGGCCTCACAATGGCAGATTTACCGTGGATTGTTTTGTGTTGCTCTCTGCTTGTCTTGTCTATACTTTCTCCTCTCAACTCCATTATACCCAGGACTGCAGCCCGAGCTTGTATATCCCCAGTGCATTACAAGTACTTAGTGCAACAATGCTGTTTGCCTCTGGACAAGATTCATGTTGCACATGCTCTGAAATGATTTTTGAGCCTTCATCATTTCATTAAAGGCAACCAGCAGCTCAATTTTCACTAGTAGCCACCTTGGTGACAGTAATCCATTAACTATAAGTGGATATTGTGTACCCAAGAGAGTTATTTCCCCAGATTTTTGCATATCCTGATCTGATGAGTTGATTATAATTTATCCTGATAATTAACACAGTCTGCTTTTTTTTTTTTAAAGACCTGCCAAAAATATCAGCTAATAATCAGGATTATAATAGGATTCTATCAAGTGAATCTTTCAGTATTCTTAGCAAGGTATTTTGAGGCCCTGTAACTTGAAGTAACTACCATTTCAAGAACTGCTTTGATAGGTGTTTTGGGAAGTAAGCTCTCATCATTTCAGAGCATTCCTTATCTTAGTTGTCACCCGAGGCAGATGTAAGCTTAGAGCTCTTATCCATTTCAAATGCTGCCAAGGTATTGAATTAGAAGTTGGAACAAAACCAAAAACGATTTCCTCTCACAGATCTCTCAGGCAGTTCTGAAACAGCCTGGGCCACTGAGAACAAAAGAAAAGCTTTCACCTCCATGTTTCAGGACAGGTTAATACCAGCCTAAACGCTTTGCCATTATCAGAGTGTGAGCGCATCGCCTATCTTGGTAGATCCAGAATGACTCTTCACTAGGAACGCTTATCTGTGAATTCAGTTTGACGTCTAACAGCCAGCATCAGTTGAGCCCTTATAAAACACTTGTGTCCCTTTGCTGTTAGTGGCATGAGACCAGCCACTTCAGAGTCTCTGTTCAGAGTGCTTAGGAAGATGAGGACATTTGGAACTTTTCTGTGTTCTTCTTCACCTCCCTCTAGTGTGTCCTCTGCATTGTGTCAGTCTGTCTGTCTCATCTATGCATCCACTGTACAAGACTGTGTCTAGCACAGTGTTCTGCATCGCTCACCCAGTGTCTGCTTCAATTCTGTTCCTCTCCTGGCTCAGGTAGCACTGCTCTTGGAAGGTTGAAAACTGAGTGACTTCACTCAAGAATTTTGGTCTATCCTACAATGTGACCACATAGTAAACCCTTGATCTATCCTACAATCTGACCACATAGTTAGCCCAACAATTTAAAGAACTAAACTATGAGGCTTCTATTTCTTATTTTTTTCAGATTCCCTTTCAAGCATATCTGGAAGTAAATAATTAAATTTTGGAGATTGGATTAACTGAAATATGTCTTCTGACTCTTATGTCCTCTGGACAGGGTTAGAACTTCTTCAGGAAAGCAGTAGATCCAGAGAGCTTGCTTCAGCAGGTTCAAGTCCAAAGTTGCTTCCTGAGCTCTGACTCTCAGTTCAGTGTGCACATGGAGGGAGGATGAAGGGACCCCAGAAGGGATTAGAGAGGCCATGGTAAATGCTGCCAGGTCAGTGGAGGGCAGACCTGTTTGTCTACAGTGCGTGAGATCGTAGCACATGGGACACACTTTAAAATGCTTATAGGAGACACCACAGTTATTAGAAGCAAGCGTACAGAGAATTAGGAAAATAAATTGAAAGTCTGGGATAGGATGGGAGAAAACAATCACAGAATTTGACATTGGTAATTAACAAAGAAGATATGAAATTTTAACACTGAAGCATTAAGGTAAAATAATTGAGCCCATTTGTGGAAGCTTATGGAAAATATTTTAGCATGAAGGTAGCAGGGACAGAACTGTGGGTTAGGGCAATGAGTGTGTGGCCGTCTTTGGCCTTTCAACAGGAGAGGGTCGGGCATCTATTGTTGTAGACTGGAGATGAAGGGAATTAAGGATCAGGCTAGACTGTAACTGCAGAAGTGGGAAGGAAGGGGTAATGCAGGCTGATGTCATGGTGGACCAACTTACAGTGTCAGGAAAGGAAAGTGAAGGAGTCTAGGGTGGATCAAGTGTTGAACTTTAGCCAGGATGATGAGAAAATATTCCTGGAAAATGGCTTTGGACTTATAGCAACATGACAGCAGAGATTTCTCCTTCTATCAGGCATGTCGTGGCCATCTTTGAAGATTTACTTCACTAGGGGCTGACATTATTAATTTGTGCTATGCTATCACATTCTTAGTTGAACTCTGTTAGGCTTTTTTTGGGCTGGAGAATAACAACCACATTAGAGCTGTTTATTGCTCCACACTATTACCATGAGTCTAAACACTCCACTTTTCACCCCTTTGGTCTTTTCTTCACCAGGGTCAACATACTAGCTTGTTGTTGAATAGGAATATTATTTGGGTCACTTACTGTGCTGTTTCACCTAAGTTTTTGTCTTTTAAAAGCCAAGAGAAGACTCAAGTGTAAAACTTCTCTCACTATAATTGTTCCTAAGCATAGTTTTCAGAAGACTACAGGGAATAAAGTCTTCCAGCAGCCTGACATCTGTCTTCAGGTTCTTTAGTCAAAGGAAGACATTAGAAAATGTAAGTGG